AAACCCTGGGATACAGCACCCTCGATGCGCTGATCGACGCCACCGTCCCCAAATCCATCCGCATCGAGAAAATGGAGTTTCCGATCTTCGACGGCGGCCTGACCGAGTCGCAGATGCTCGCCCACATGAAGGACCTCGCCTCGAAAAACAAGGTATTCAAATCGTACATCGGCATGGGGTACTACAACACCTTCGTCCCGCCCGTGATCCTGAGGAACATCATGGAGAACCCTGGTTGGTATACCCAATATACCCCTTACCAGGCAGAGATCTCACAGGGGAGACTCGAATCACTCCTTAATTTCCAGACCCTGATCACTGACCTCACCGCCCTTCCCATGTCCAACGCCTCCTTGCTCGACGAGGGCACGGCGGCCGCCGAGGCCATGGCCATGTGCAACAATATTCAGAAGGGCAAGAAGAAGACCTTTGTGGTGGCTAGTAACTGCCACCCACAGACGATCGACGTCTGCAAGACCCGAGCCGACGGGTTCGACCTGAAAGTGGTTGTCTCAGATGTGAACGACATTAGCTACAGGTCGGGGGACGTTTGTGGGGTTCTGGTTCAGTATCCAGGGACGGAAGGAGAAATTCTGGACTACAAGGAGTTTGTGAAGAACGCACATGACCACGGCGTGAAGGTGGTGATGGCTACGGACCTTCTGGCGCTGACTGTGCTGAAGCCGCCTGGTGAACTGGGGGCCGATATTGTGGTGGGGTCCGCACAGAGGTTTGGTGTGCCGATGGGGTATGGGGGCCCACACGCAGCTTTCCTGGCAACGTCTCAGGAGTACAAGAGGATGATGCCGGGGAGGATTATTGGGTTGAGCGTGGACTCGTCTGGAAAGCAGGCTCTTCGCATGGCTATGCAGACGAGGGAGCAGCATATTCGTAGGGATAAGGCGACCAGTAATATTTGCACTGCTCAGGTGAGAGTATTTAACATTTTATATTTTGTTCGATTTTATTTGAATTTTAGTTGTTGTACATCATATTGTGGTACGAGACTAGGAGAGCTCTTGGTTTTAGATTGGTGTTATTGTTTAGGTAGAAGCAAAAGTAGTTGGGAATGAATAGTTTGTTGTGGTTGTAAAGAAAGGCGGGTCAAGTTGAAAGGTGATGCTTTATGGTAGGGGTTAAATAAGCTGTGTCTTTATTTGTGTGTAAAAATGGAATCAGAGTGGAAAAGGATTTTTGGTGTTCTTCTCTTTTGTTTTCAGATTCTTATTAGATGATACACAATCACAAACAAAAATGATGGTATTTAGAAAGACTTTGTGTTTTTCATATTTCTTTTCGCTATCCTTAGGTCATCTTTTGAGCTTTTAAATAGTCCTTTTTGTGCTTGCAGACACCTGTAGGTACTTAATGTTGGTTAATGTGATTATGTTAAAAAAATATGTGCTTTAAAACTTACAAGAAATCCTTTTTGTTATGTAGGCCTTGCTTGCCAACATGGCAGCCATGTATGCTGTTTATCATGGTCCAGAGGGCCTTAAAACTATTGCTCAAAGGGTTCACGGCCTGGCTGGAACATTTGCTGCGGGATTGAAAAAGCTGGGGACTGTAGAAATCCAGGGCCTTCCCTTTTTCGACACCGTGAAGGTTAAATGTGCTGATGCGAAGGCTATTGCTGATGTTGCTTACAAGAACGAAATAAATCTGAGGATTGTCGATAAGAACACGGTAAATAATTAGTTTTGTTCATCTCTTTTGTCGTAAATTGTTAAGAGCTGAGTGATTAACCGTGCCTTTTCGTGTCTCAGATAACTGCCTCTTTTGACGAGACCACCACATTGGAAGACGTGGACAAGCTGTTTGGAGTCTTTGCAGGTGGCAAGCCGGTAAGTACAGAGTATTCCTGTTAGACATATTACTAAATTTTAGTTATATGTGTTATAATTTGTGTCTTATGTTGGTTAGGTGACATTCACTGCCGAGTCTCTTGCACCAGAGGTTCAAAATTTGATCCCTTCAGGACTTGTTAGAGAGACCCCATATTTGTCTCACCAAATATTCAACTCGTACGAAGACTGAATTTAGAAAAACGCTATTCATTTTTATCATTTTATTTTGTTTTTTGATTTCGCGAATATAAATAGGGTATGCTTGAATCATAGATTGTGAGGGTGAATATAAATGTTGAAACTTGTATGTCTGATGGTGTAGGTATCACACTGAGCACGAGCTTCTCAGGTACCTTCACAGGCTTCAGGCAAAGGATCTGTCTTTGTGCCACAGCATGATTCCATTGGGCTCTTGCACAATGAAATTGAATGCAACAACTGAAATGATGCCTGTAACATGGCCCGAATTTTCGGATCTTCATCCTTTTGCCCCCACTGAACAAGCTGCTGGCTACCAGGTTAAAACAAAATGACTTGGAAGTCAGCTCTGGAGATTTGTCAATCAGTTCAGGAATTTGCAATGAATGTTTTGGTGATTTATTATATTTTTGAACTGTTATGTTTCTAATTGCAGGAGATGTTCAAGAATTTGGGTGATTTGTTGTGCACGATCACAGGTTTTGATTCTTTCTCTCTGCAACCCAATGCTGGAGCTGCTGGAGAATATGCCGGGCTCATGGTTATTCGAGCATATCACTTGGTACTTTAAATCAGAAATTGTATTTCAATATTCTTTGACATTTTAAATCCAATGATATAGAAAATTGACACATATTCTATCCGGGGATTATACAAATACTACCTCTGTTTTTTCTCTTTTTTTT